AAATGATAGGGCATGAATTAAAAATATAACATAATAATAATATTATTTATTAGTTGTCATAAATTTATAATTATAATATAGTTCAACGCGCGTGACACACCGAGGCACAGCCGCGCAGGATAAAAAATAAAAATGTTATTCATTCGCTATCTATGATTTTTCTTATCAGTTATTAACCGGTTAATCGTGATAGTAATTGATAGTAATTTACACGTGACAGATGATAATAACAAAACAATAATTATTATTATACCTATCAATATTTTTTATACTGCACGTCCACATTAGTAGTATTACTGTATTATTATAATTTATAGTGTCTATAAGTAGTACTTTACACTGTTACAAYTCTAGTAAGCTATTGCTTTACACAGTACATACCTAAAAACTATCGTAATTCTTAACTAATAATATTTTCCTTGATTTGATAATTTACAGCTTACTGTTTATGCGCTCAGGATTTTAGTTTTTTTCGTACGTCCAATTAAACCGAAAAATGCCGACAATCAATATTAAAAGGGATCTGCTTTTCGAGGCGCTTGGAACGACTTACAGTAATTATTTTCAATACATCTGATGATAGATATTTTAAATGTATTCTCTTTTCCAGCCGATGAAGAGTTTGACAATTTGTGCATTTCGTATGGATTGGAGCTCGACGAGGTGGTAAGTATTAATTTTATTATTATTCAAGTACATATATTTTATGGAATTGTAAAATTTAGACCTCAGAGAAGCAAATGGTATCCAAAGAACAAAGCGAGTCCAAATCTGAAGGTGCTTCTGATGATACGATTTACAGAATYGACATACCAGCCAACCGTTATGATTTGTTATGTCTTGAAGGATTAGTGGATGCGTTACTGGTGTTTCAAAATAAGTAATCCAAAAAACTTCTAGTTACTCAATACCATGAAATCTTCAAAATTTTGTTTAAATAATTTTAGGATAGAATTACCCCGTTTTAAAGTCATTCAGTCGAAAAAACCATTAAAAGTATTTGTTAAATCTAATGTGAGTGCAATTGTATTATGAATTTAGGAGTTAATTTAAAAAACTTATAATATTTTAGTGTTTATTTTTACATACATTTATTTGGTAATGTAGACTAAACAAATTCGGCCTTATGTTGTCGCAGCGGTTTTAAGAGATGTCACATTAGATTCAGCAAGATATGCCAGTTTCATTGACTTGCAAGACAAACTACATCAAAATATTTGTAGAAAGCGATCACTTGTTGCTATTGGTACTCATGATTTAGATACAATTGAAGGACCATTCACGTATGATGCTTTGCCGCCAGAAGATATAAAATTCAAAGCATTGAATCAAACAGAAGTTCACAATGCTGCAAAATTAATGGATATTTATTCAGTAAATAAAATAATTTTGTGACTGCTAGAGTTCTTACATTTAATTGATTTTTCTTCTTAGACACATGCTCAATTGAAACAATATTTGAGTATACTTAAAGATAGCAGCGTATATCCAGTTATTACAGATAATAATGGAATTGTACTATCGATGCCACCAATTATTAATGGACATCATTCTAGAATTACTTTAGAGACCAAAAATATTTTTATTGAATGTACAGCAACTGATTTAAAGAAAGTATGTACATGTCTTTATTCAATGCTGTTGTAAATTTAATCATTATTTATTTATTTATTTTTTTTTTTTAAGGCCAATATTGTGTTAGACACGGTTTTGTGCATGTTCAGTAAATACTGTTCAAATAAATATACAGCAGAAAGGTGTGAAGTTATATATCCAGATGGGTCAGTAAAATTGTACCCAGAATTGAAATATCGTAAAGAAATGGTGAATCGGAAAAAAGTTAWTTCATATTTAGGAATAAGGTATTTTGGGATTTATAGCGCATATATTGAATACTGACTATAATAAGTAATTTTTAGTGAAAATTTAGATAACTTGTCCTCTGCCTTATCGTCGATGTGTTTGAAATCGGCCGTTTTAAAAGAATCTGACATGGTTGTCGTTGAAGTGCCACCAACTAGACATGATATTATCCATGCATGTGACTTGTATGAAGATGTAGCTATTGCTTATGGGTATAACAATATACCTAAAACATTACCAAAAACAACTACGATAGGCTCTCAAYTACCCATCAATTCTCTATCTGATAAGATCAGAAATGAAATAGCATATTGTGGCTTCAATGAAGTACTAACATTCTCCTTGGTAAGTTTATGAGTTATGAGTGGATTCATTATAGAGAGTAATTATTACTTTGATTTTTTTAGTGTTCAAGAGATGATGTATCAACTAAAATTCGGAAACCATTTGATGCTCAACGTACTGTATGCATAAGTAACCCAAAAACATTAGAGTTCCAAGTTGCGCGTACTAATATTTTATCTGGACTTTTGAAAACAACCTCAGCTAATAAAAAAATGCCTCTACCTATGAAATT